ACGTTGATTCTTTTTGGTTGTGTTTTTTAATGCCATAATATTCCTCATAATTATACAACCTGAAGTTTGTAATTGTGATTTCTGTTCTTTCCACAGGTGAAAATGTGGACATGACTGTTCACCAGAAACCTCAGGATCTGATAATAAATGATGGAGAATCTTATGACATTAAGTGCTTCCATAAAATCCCAAACTATGACCGCCTGCTGTGGTACAAGCAATCCAAGAGCAAAGAGTTAACATTCATGGGAAATCTTATAGGTGACACTGGATACCCAGAAAGAGCTTTCGAGAGCAAAATTAAAATAGAGGGTGATTCCAATAAGTTTCATGGCTCTTTAACTTTAATGAGTCCTACATCAGAGAGTAGTGCTGTTTATTTCTGTGGAGCCTATTACACAGTAACACCAAATCTGTTCCTCCCATACAAAAACCTATCGCTAAGAATTATTGTTGGTCTCACACCTGTGATAAACCACTGCTAGATACATTATAACTCTGTTCAAAAACCTATGAGTTGCCTTACTTACAAAAGCATCCTAATTCAAACTGAATTTTAACACTCTATGATGATTTCATGTGAACTCACAACTGATTCTCACAGTGTTGCTAAGCTAATAACACAATCCTCTAATAAGCAATACAACAGTATACACAAATATTGGATCAAATAGTCTACATTTCAGTAAACAGTTTTTAAAAGTACCATTTGTGTAGAACATTCACAAAGAATGCAGAATGTATTGCAAACATTCACTTTATATTAGGTGTCTTTAACTACTGTGTACAAAAAATAGGTACAATGTACTTATTGTGTTCATGTTGTATTGCCAAACACTTTTGCTGTTATTGAGGATGACCGGTAAGTTTAGCGACAGGTTTGATGGTATGGTTGGGTTTAAAGGCAGTGTTACGCATCACAAGTAACGCGAGTTACGTAATCAGATTACTTTTTTCAAGTAATTAGTAAAGTTACACATTACTTTTAAATTTACAACAAAATATCTGAGTTTCTTTTTCAAAAAAGTAACGCAAGTTACTTTGTTAGTAGTGCATAGTAGCTAAAGACACTTAATATAAAGTGAGACCATCTAAAGAACCTTTCATCACTATAAAGAACATTTGTGTTGGAAAGAATCCATTAATGTTAAAGGTTCTCCATGGAATTCTTTTTCAATTAGCTTATTGCAGTGCATTATGGGATTCTTCACGACGGGTATATTCAGCCCGTTCTCATCCTTTGGCGTCATACATGTGACGCTTTGTACATTTCGTTGAAATCTTACGCACATGGCATCCTTTAGCGTCAATATGAGACGCAGAACCCAAGGCGTCATAACCGTAACCCTACCCCAGACCTAAACCTACCCATAACAGTGCGTGTTATATTGACGCTAAAGGATGCCATGTGAGTAAGATTTCGACGAAATGTCACATGGCGTCACCTATATGATGCCAAAGGATGAGAATGCGTTATAATATTATATGATGCTAACTTAGAATTAGGCAACTACTCAACATAGTGACACACCAAATGATGTTAAATATCGTGACAAGAAGGAGAATTCGTTAAACCACAGTAAATGTCCAAGAGTAGCTGTGTAAGACTGCTTTGAGCATTGAAACATAGCCTACTTTTTTTAAAAATCATGTCAAGTCAAGTCATCTTCATTTATATAGCGCTTTTAACAATGTAGATTGTTTCAAAGGAGCTTTACAGAGATAAACATACAATTTACGGTAACAGAGATTGTTTTGGCTTTATAGCAATTTTTGAATAATGTTATTTCCAGCTAAAGTTAGTTTTGATTGATTCACTTCCAGCAAAATTATCATTTGTTATCAAATTAGGCTAAGACGACGGCGTTCTCTCTAAACAGACTTTAAACGCGAACCTGAGACCGGATGGCGTTCACATTAAGAATTGATTCTATAGTTATATTCGTTTGAATATATGTGCGCAGGTTTGTAATTTTGCTACAAACCATGCCTAAAAAACGACTTGTCTTGCCTATACATTAGATAAAGAATTTTGTTTTATTTTATCACTTCGGGGTACGCGAACCGGATTTTCAACAACGCTTTCATCACTTTGTCTCCTGCTTTCTGCTCTTAACTTTGCCTAATTTAAGGAAGACTTTTAGTTAATGCAATTTTGGTTAGCAGACAAAATACACTTTTGGTAACTGGTTTTAAGTATCAGACAAAACTCTAATACAGTTTCAGATAGCAGGATGTCTTCTGACGGGATCTGGTAAAGAGACTGGATCCAATATTCCTAGCGTGGAGATTCGATCTGACAGTTTTGGCGTAATCGGCAGGACGTCAGCTCCATCTAACACATAGCAAAATTTTACACAAAGCCTAAAGGAATACATCAGCAAATGTGACAAACACTCCTACAGAATATAAGCTTCCACGGGAGACATGCATGCTTTCATTTCTTGCCTTCTCAACTCCATTTAGCAGCTAGATTAGATCAGTTCTTGTTTTTGAAGGAGGGACTAATCTTTTCCACCATTAAATGTTCAATCCACTAGATGTCCTCACATGCAACTATAGCAGATGAGCTTCTTTACAACACTTTCTTTACAAAATGTTTGGTTTGCTGCTTTTGCTCTTGCTTCTTCCAGTTGGTAGGCTAAAAAAATTATTTAACTTAAATGTGTCAGTAATGTGAAAATAAAGTGATGTAAAAATTTAAGTTTATTAAAATATCTGGTTTTAAATTAGTGTTTTTGGAATAATTTAGACTGATTGTTTTCATTAAAATTCTCACAAATTAATTATTTTACAGATTTGGGATTAAAGCAATCATCTGATCTCTTTGTATCCAAGGATCTCAATGTGACTATATCGTGTTCCCAGATTGGAACATCACACAACAGCATGTACTGGTTCAGACAAACATCCACTGGGCCACTGGAGCAGATAGTGTATTTCTATGTTAATTCAGAGACCTGGGAAAAGAGTTTTGACCAGCGAGCATCCGCTGTGAGGAATGGGGCATCTTTAGACCTGACTCTTATTAAAGTACAGATCTCTGACAGTGGCATTTACTTCTGTGCAAAGCAGGATGCACAGCACTATAGACCAATATATAAGTTCAACAAAAACATGCAGTCCTTCCCCTGCAGATTAACATCTAACACCTGCTCATCTGCTGGTACTACATGCAGGGATGAGTACGTATTGCATACATTTGTAATGTATTATTATTTTAGTTTACACACAGAATTGAATCTTTTCCACATGAGAAATGCATTCAGTAAATATATAGCTTAAAAGTGATATAATTGGCTTAAAAAACTGTTTTATTCTGCATGGAGTGATTCATGAACTTGTTAAAATCATATGATGAGCTGTAATATTACTTACGTTTTTTGGTCAGATTTGTTTAATTTTGGTCCATTTAGCCTACACCGGGTCTGATTTAAATAAACTTTTTTTTCTTCTTTTTTTTTGCGTGCTCAATCTCACACGTAATTTCTCAATTCTCAGTATGGCAGACACCAGCAAACCAAAGCATATTTTCTGCCAATTAACTGGTAATATATGATTTTTTTTTACACAAACTAGCTGTTTTTGAGTCGTTTAGAGTCGATTTGTTGAAATAACCAGTAGGGGTCTCCTTTGAGCCTAAAATAAAAGTTTCTTTTTTTTAAGGGGTTCATTCACACACCCTGTTCAGACCCTCACACACTGTTGTTCATTCATGTCACTCCTCCAGCACTGAATCAAAATGGCATTTATAGCGTGCTTCATTCATTTAACAACACTGCTATTCTGGGTCTCAGGTAAACTATTACTTTATTTGGTCCTACTGTTTATGTTTTTCTTACTCATTTTAACTACTCTATTGTCTGTTTTAAACAGGAGAATCATTAAGTGACAAAGTTCACCAGACTCCAACGCATCTGATAACAAACGCTGAGAACACATTTCAGCTCAGCTGTTCTCACACCATTAAAGACTATAACCTGATATTATGGTATGAGCAGCTGAAGGGTGAAACTGCTCTAAATCTCATTGGATATGTTTATTACAAGAGTCCAACCATTGAAAGTAAATACACAAATCAGTTCAAGATTGCAGGAGATGGTGCAACAGACTCTACTCTTGATTACACGTTAGAAAAGAAACTTGTTGAGAGTACTGCAATATATTACTGGTGCTGCCAGCAAAGCACAGTGATAGAGACCCTTTCATCACTATACAGAAACCTTCGGTTAAACTTCACCACAAAATCATTAGCACCTGAATACACCCACAAAATATCATTTTCATGCAATGCACCCATATCAAGTTTCTTCATTGAGATAAAATATTATTAATAATAAAAAAAATCATAAACATAAGTTTATATAAAGATTAAAGGCATAATGGTCAACTCTATTATTAAGGTAGATTATTTTAGCCAAAAGGTTGAGCTGTGTTCTCAAGGCAAGGGTCTATTTCATACATTTTAAGTTGTGGAAATGTATCACATTTTTTTATTAGGTTAAACTTAAATGTTGTAATTTTATACTTTTTTTAGTTAAAATTTTTACTGGAGCAATTCACAATATTTCATGGGCAATAACTGTGGAAATGTTGTTCTATAAAAAGTGTTGTTCTGTTCCTCACACAATCCATAATTTATATGTATAGCATATGGGTCATTATCAATTAGGAGTGTGTGTGTGTGTGTGTGTGTAATAAGCAGTGTGTGTGTGTGTGTGTGTGTGTGTGTGTGTGTGTGTGCCCTACTTAAATATTATTTTCTATTTTGCCATTTTTGGAACTCAACAACCTCACTCCCAATACCCTTTTGTTGTATGGAAAAGCAAAACCTGCAAAATATCTTTGTTGTGTCACACATAAAAAAAAAAAATGTAACAGGTCTGGATGGAACAACGCGAATGCAAGTAAATGAATCTTTTGGTGAATTTGAAAGAGCTATGACATGCCTACTTTTCAATAGGTGGAGCTGTACTACAACACATTCACTATAGAGAGTAATGCCACCTCTGAAATGCGAAAATTCACAGCATCTCAGTTTTGAAATGTTTTACAGTGCCATTGCTGGACTAATGTGTTCACATTATCTTTCAGATTGAGCTTTTCTCCTGCTACAGAGTGTCAACATGAGATTTGTCATTATAGTTACTGTCGTATTGATCACTTTCTCAGGTAGGACTCTGTCTATATTTATATAAAGTAATTCCACTTTTTCTCCATTCTATTTTTTTCATGAATATGTTCTACTTTTTCACAGGATTTTCTCATAGTAACAAAGTCGACCAGTCTCCACCTGATGTGATTCAGAGACCAGGAAAATCTGCAAAGATCCGGTGTCAACACAGTGTGAACAATTACAATCAAATCAACTGGTACAGACACATCCAGGGCCAAGAGTTCACATTCATGGGATACTTGCTTCTAAAAGGACCAAACTCAGAAAAAGAGTTCACTAAAAAAATAGAAATGTCTGGGGATGGACAGAACGATGGATCATTGACCATTACAAGTCTCTCGTCTAATGACAGCGCAGTGTATTTCTGTGCTGCATATTACACCGTGTTTCAGATCCCTGCAGTTCATTACAAAAACATCTCTATGATTCTGCTATTAGGAAAGCGAAAAACATGAAAAGTTTAATAACCTTATTCGCACCTGCTCCTGTGGTTTACTGTATTTGAGACTCTGTCAGTTAGAAAACAATAATCAACCAGAGGTGGCTGTCACTTGTTTATACAGTATATTTAATTTAACACCATGACAATGAAAGAAACCCCAAGACTTCATGTTTATTTTCACTTCTCATGTTTTGAATCCCTTTACATTAGTTATGTACTTACTGTCCAAACATCCAAACATTTACTCAGAGCGATTCATTGAAGGTATTCATAGTCATTGGAGAGTTTAACAACCCGATCACACTAAATGCGTCTCTATAGCACGCAGTGTGTTTATCGTGCAATTTATACGCGAAAATGAGTTTTTATGTGCAGAGGATACGCATGGGTTGGTTAGGGTTTAGTAGTGGTGTGTTTGGGTAGACTTAGTGGTGTGGGGTGCGTGTGTATTACACGCAAATGAACTGCGTATGAAATGCACGCGAAAACTGCGTATCAAATGCACGTAAAAACTAATTTTCGCGTATAAATTGCACGATAAAACACAATGCGTGCTATAGAGACGCATTTACGTGAGAACAGGCTGGTTTAATCAAACTACTACTATGTATATAAACACTTTAACTACTATGTACTTACATATAAAAGTAAGGTACAATGTACTTATTGTCTTAATGTTGTATTGCAATATTGCATTTGGTATGGTCAGGTTTAATGGTGGGTTAAGGTGTGAGGTTTGTTATTACAGCTTTAATTACATGCAGGTATTTTTTGAAAGTACAATGTGAAAACATGTGCACAATAAGTGCATTGTATCAAATGATTCATTTAAATGTTAGTACATTTTAGGTAGTATATAGACAATGTTAGTACAAAGACAAGTGGGACCAAACATACAAATTGGGAATGTGAGTTTATTTGGTCATGAATGCAGTGATGTATTTATCATAGAGGGATTTGCAATGTGAAGTATAACGGAAGAGTTCAGCCCCACCCCATCTGTTTCTTTTGTATGTGTGCATGTACAGTCCCAGTATTTCTTTCTATTATTATTTCTCAGAGGTTGCTCTTTCATGGCTCATTAGACTTCATGTTCTCTATTCTCAGTTATTCATTTAGTTTACTTTTTCTCAGATGTTTCTACTAAAACCACTTAGGATAAATACAAAAAAAGGCAAAAATTATACCGTTGTTGATATGTAGGCTACAGCCAGATTAAGGAGCTATACATTACACAAGCTGTATAGCAGAACAATTCCCTGGAGTAAAAACACGTCACTTCCTTTCACTTGTTCTGACTTTTATTTTGTCTCATAGGCACTGCTGTTTGCAGGTGTTGAGCTGCTTTCTATCATACACTGCCTATGCTAAATGTCACAATGGTGATAATGTTTGCTGTATTCTTCACCTTGTTGCCAGGTAAGATTCTTCAAAATATGTACTTAAAAGGCAATGAATTTCCTTAAAATGACCATGTATCATTCATACACAACTTCACTCTGTTTAGGTCTTGTACAAAGTCAGCGAGTTGCTCAGTCTCCTCCAGACCTGATGAGAATCCTCACAGAATCTGCTGTTCTCACTTGCTCACATTCTGACCAGGGCTTTGAACGCATCCTCTGGTATAAACAATCTGAGGACAGGGGATTCATTTTTCTTGGTTATCTCAACAATAATTTTAAAAATCCTGAAGATGAATTTAGAAACAAAATGGTCTTGGATGGAGATGGCAGAAGTCGTGCCACACTAACAATCCACAACCTGACATCAGTCGACAGCGCAGTCTATTACTGTGCAGCACGAACTCACAGTGTGTTAAATCCCCACAACCCAGCGCAAAAACCATCTTTATCACAGCAGAATATCTATGTGTCTATGTTCATTCACCTGCTACAAACCACTAAACCTGTATGTTCGTCACTGTAAGATTCACAAAACAAACTTCTCTGCCCTTCCTTGTGACTTATAATTTGACTCAATACAGTCAATAAACATTTTTAACTGTATTATTCTACATTGTAGTCACATGACCTCACTATGTTTGTCACATGATGACAAACATTGCATTTTTTAATTCATGGAGGTCTATATACATGGAGATAACTATTCATTAGCATAACCATTTATCTCAAAGGCACTTCATATAAACCTATTTCACCCCAATAAGCTTTCCATAAATTTTTGCACTGATAAATAATCTACGATAAAAAGATTAACTAAAATAGCTGTCAATGGAGAAAATAATTTTTGCCTTGAGGTAATTACAATATCTACCAGCAGGGGCTAGCGTGTCTTGCTAATCAGCTATAGGCTAATCAGCCATAGGCTCAAAGCAGAGTTACACTTTCTTCATATCTGTGCACACATCCACAAAATATCAGTCATATTGTGGTGGTGATGAAGTTTTTCCCCCCGCTGTTGCTGCACTGTTTTCAGATTAGATTCTCTTCAGCACTCAACATGAGAATAGTGATCATAATTACTGTTACACTGATCAGTTTCTCAGGTAAGGCCCTGTATCATGTAAATTCATTAAACCTCTGTACCTCTTTTCTGTTTTGTTAAATGTTACTCTTATTTTCACAGGTTTTTCTCATAGTAACAAAGTCGGCCAGTCTCCACCTGATGTGATTCAGAGACAACGAGAATCTCCAAAGATCCGGTGTCAACACAGTGTGAACAGTTACAATCAAATCAACTTTTACAGACAAAACCAGGATCGCCAGTTCATATTAATGGGATATTTGCTTGGAAAACAACCGTACGAAGAAAATGATTTCAAAGATAAAATAGATCTGTCCGGGGATGGAAATAACGATGGATCTTTGACCATTAAAAGTCTCTCGTCTAATGACAGCGCAGTGTATTTCTGTGCTGCATATTACACAGTGTTTCAGATCCCTGCAGTTCATTACAAAAACACTCTGTGATTATCAGATAAACCAACAAGAAAGTGTTCATTTACACCTGTTCCTGTGGTACATAGAGACTCAACCTGAGAGGATTTTTTAGACTTAATGTAATGTGTAATAGTTTTATTGAAAGCGCATGTTGCCAGCGGTGAAGTATAACTCTTTTAAGGTACATGAAAGCAAAAAATGATCATGCCTTAAATATAATGCTGAAAGTCTATTTAATTAAAGAGCAGATTTAAAAAAAAAAATTTTTTACGGAACACTTTGATCAGTTGTACATATTTGGTGCAATTACTATCAAGTCCACTAGGAGTCTCATTCAACCTGAAATAAAGACATATTTATCAGAGGAAGTGGGACAGGTTTCTGTTTCTCAGAGAACACTGAGAGAGTGTGTAATGTGTATTTTATTCTGTGCATCACTGAGAGCTCCAGCACTGAAGCTTCAACATGACATTTACAGTGTGTTTCATTTATTTCACAGCACTGCCATTCTTGAGCTCAGGTACTGAATCATTCATTTATGTATTTTCATATGGCTGTAGACTTTCTCGTTTTTAATGCACTTTTCCGTCTCTTTCAAACAGGGGAATCACTGAGTGACAAAGTTCATCAAACACAGAAAGATCTGCTGGTTAAAACTCATGAACCTGTTACACTCACCTGCTCTCACACAATACAAAGCTATTACATGATATTATGGTATGAGCAGCTGAAGGGTGATACGGCTCTAAATCTCATTGGATATGTTTATTACAAGAGTCCAACCACTGAAAGTAAATACACAAATCAGTTCGAGATTGCAGGAGACGGTGCAATAGACTCTACCCTTGGTTTCAAGCTGAATGTATCTGGGACTTCTGTTATGTATTATTGTGCCGCCAGTGAAGCACAGTGTTAGAGATCATTCAGTCTCCCTACAAAAACCATCTGTTATAACCACCAACCAAAACTTTTAACTGTGTGCATATATGCTAATATGAAACTAGTAGCCTAGGATGGATGGATGGATAGATACTGCAATGAAACATTTTTATGTCTTATAGATTTGGTTGAATACAAAAATAAACAAAGAATATTTCACAATAAATTATTCTGACAATATTAAAGTTGTTGAAACCTCAATACATAGTCATATTTGTGAAGGTTTGTGAATATTTTTTTAGCGTGAAGAAAGATCAGGTAATAGTCTCAATTCTCAGGTCTTCATGTGGTCTCAACATCTTCTCAGATGTTTCTCCTAACATTCCTTGAGAATAAAAATAATACTATTACTGTATGTAATCAAAAGTTTGTCTGAGTAAAAAATTAGCAAAAGCTCAGATAATTTAGTCTTGTGAGAATGTGATGAAATGTTAAAAATTGTATTGCTGTGTCAGAGAAACTATTGAGATATTAAATAGATTTCAGTTGTGATTTTTATTCCTGGAGTAAAGACATGTCACTTCCTGTCACTTATCAGGACTTTTATTTTGTCTCAGTGTTGTCAGTAGTTGTAGAGCTGCTTTCCATCATACACTGATTATGTGCAGAATATCATCATGATGATAACGTTTGTCATATTCTTTGTCCTGTTGGCAGGTAAGATTCCCCAAAGCATGTTTTTTAACAGAAAGAAATGAATGTCCTGAAAATACAATGTGCCATTCACCATTTCACTCTGTTTAGGTCTTGTACAAAGTGAGCGAGTTGCTCAGTCTCCTCCAGACCTGATGAGAATCCTCACAGAATCCGCTGTTCTCACTTGCTCACATTCTGACCAGGGCTTTGAACACATCCTCTGGTATAAACAATCTGAGGACAGGGGATTCATTTTTCTTGGTTATCTTAATTTGAAATTTCCATATCCAGAAGATGAATTTAGAAACAAAATGGTCTTGGATGGAGATGGCAAAAGTCGTGCCACACTAACAATCCACAACCTGACATCCGTCGACAGCGCAGTCTATTACTGTGCGGCACGAACTCACAGTGTGTTAAATCCCCACAACCCAGCGCAAAAACCATCTTTATCACAGAATATCTGTAGTGTGCACTGAAACAGGTGATGCTGTTCGTTCACCTGCTACAAACCACTAAACCTGTATCTGTGACAGTG